ACTTTACGTGGTAAAACAGCTTATTGGACTCAGATCTATCAATTGTGTGCTTTGGATTCAAACAAAATCAAGTAAAAATCAGTTGCATGGCGGCGACTCGGCGAGTCGGAAGAACGACTCGACGAGTCGGGTCGCGAGTCCCGAGTCCTTCAGTTTTATCAGTGTCGAGTGGACGAGGTGAGTCAGGAAGTGGACTCAGCGAGTTGAGAGTAGACTCAGTGATGAAGGGACTCGACGAGTTGTTCATACAACTCGGCGAGTCCAAGGCAATCTTCTTGGGATCAAGAACAACTCGTCGAGTCTGTTCATCCGACTCGGCGAGTCGGATGAAGATTGTCTGAGTTCTTGGATCAAGAGGGTACTCGTCGAGTCGATGCCAGACTCGACGAGTAGCAGTGAGTAAGGGAAAATGAGAGTAGGACTCGGCGAGTTGGGTGGCCCAACTCGGCGAGTCAGCCCAAAAGATAATTGACTTTGACCGAGGGTAAAAGAGTCATTTTACCCCAAGCGCAGTGTTTAGTATTTGATTGAGTGTGTTTATGGACTTGTAGCCGAGGAGATTCAGGAGCAGCCGTCGTTAGCTTCCCGAGCCACACACTCAGCAGCCAGCTTACGAGGTGAGCTTCCTTCCAGTAGGAACGGGTCTAAGGCCACAATGCCGGCCCGTTCAGTTAGCAGTAGTTTCCGGATTTAGGTCCGATGCAACAGTTAGTATGTTCGATGCCTTCGTGGTTCGAACAGGATTTGTGTGCTATGTTTTATGTGTTAAGTATTATGTGTTCCGGGCCACGGCCGATGTAGCATGTCGTATATGTGTTATGCTAGTTGATGTGTTATGCTATGCCATGTTCAGTCAGTTCCGGACTTCGGTTCGATGCAGTTAGTTCCGGACTTCGGTCCGATGCAGGGGACAAGGTCCCAGTCAGTTCCGGACTTCGGTCCGATGCAGTTAGTTCCGGACTTCGGTCCGATGCAGGGGACAAGGTCCCAGTCAGTTCCGGACTTCGGTCCGATGCAGTTAGTTCCGGACTTCGGTCCGATGCAGGGGACAAGGTCCCAGTCAGTTCCGGACTTCGGTCCGATGCAGTTTCCGGGCTTCGGCCCGATGCAGTGGGCAAGGCCCAATATGTGTTGATATGTTATTGTATGGTATGTGGTAGTTTGGGGGAGCTCACTAAGCTTCGTGCTTACAGTTTCAGTTTTGGTTTCAGGTACTTCCGCAAGTAAAGGGAAGAGCTCGGGGTGACAGCATCGCACACACCACATCATAGCTTTTATCCTGGGGATGTCTTTTGATGTTTTGGGTGGATGTTGTATGATACAGTTTTCCGCACAATATTTTACTATGTTTTGGGGATACATCGCGTATGTTTTATGTTATGATACTTATATTATGGTTTAGATTATATCGAAAAACAAAAAAAAATTTGGGTCGTGTTTTTGGGTCGTTTCAGGCTAGTATGTGTATGTAAGGTATTTTGGGCAATTGACTAAGCTTTATGCTTACAGTGTTATGTGTTATATGTTTCAGGTACTAGTGATGATTGCGGGAAGGCGCCGACATGATTCATACACACACATGGATGTTTATGTATTTTGATCTTGGGAAATATTTGTGAAAAAAAGTATGATACAATGGGGTTTTATCAATAAATGTGTTTAGAAAAGTGTGTTTAAAATGATAAAAATTTGTTTTAAATTTTACGGTGTTACAATTATTTGCTTCCTACAAGAAAATTCCTCCGGCTGGTCCAAGGGTTTATACTCGGGAGATGCAGCAATCACTTAACGACGCTGATAAACTAGCAAAACGGGGTAAATGCAGTGACCCAAAAAAAGCTACTCAGGAAGGTCCATCCTCTAAGGCTGCTGCTTTAAAAAAGAGGAAGTATGAGAAAGATGCAACACGTGTTCAGATGAAGCGCAAGGTTAAGAAGGCAGAAAGGAAACCAGTCACTCCATCCACCAGTGATTCTAATTCCAACCCTTCAGATCAACCCCGTGATGACTCCAATGATAATGGGACTGACGAAATTCCTTGTGATGCTGAGGGAGGTTATTCGCCTCCTCCTTCTCCTACTTATGGGGTACCATTAAATGATTCGGTTCCATCTCAGACTTCGGTTCCATCTACTATCGCCCCATGTCCACCACCAGTATCCACTGCTCCACCAGTCAGTGCTCCAATTCCGCCACCAGTATTTTCCCCAGAAATAACCAAACCTATTGTTAAGGTATCTGATACGGGGGAACGTACCTTTCAAAACGAACCTCCATTGTTATCATCACCATCAACCGAGTTAGGCATTGTACTGGGTGGAGAAGATCTCAACTTTGAATCCACATATTACAGTCCCTATCGCGTCCAGAGCGATGACAATGACGACGCTCCTATGACAAAGCGACATTTGAAAGATTTGAATGATAAGCTTGTTACAAATATTGCCTCATCCTCTACTTCTTCATAGGGTTATTCAAAGGCTGCTGTTAAGGCCATTATGGAAATGGTGCTCCAACGACATGAATCTCTGATTCAGAATACCAAAGATGTTGTTGATGCTTCGACTCTATCGAGAAGGAAGGTTGTTAACAAAGTTAAATATTTGGTTAATGATGTGATGATTTTTCTAGAATCTCTTCAAGGGGCAGCCAAAACTAACTCCAATAAGGTAAATGCTACAATTGAGTCACTTTCCAAGACTTTTAAGGATGAACAAGCGAAGTTCGACCAAGTTCGTTATGGTTTACAAGCCGATCAAGCATCCTTTCGGTCATCGGTTGCTTCTCGTCTTGACAAAATCCAAGAACAGTTAGCATTTGAAAATAGAGTGTTGGATAAGGTAGCCCTTCAGACTACACTGATCAAGACTCAAACTGTTCAGTTGAATCAAGCACGAAGGGATATTGATGAGCTTAATTCTAAGCGAACTGTTATGAAAAGTTGTGTTTCTGATGTCCACGATCTTCTTTCCAACATTTTAGATGCTCATGATTCGGTCCTTACAATCACTATTCGGCGACATCTTGTTGAAAAACTATGTCCCGGTCTTGCTTTGTTGAGCCGACTGGTGGGTGTTCCGGAGTTGGTCGCTACTCCGCAACAAGGGGGGATAAAAATGAAGAGCAACAGAAATAATCTCATCAACAATCACCGAAATCAAAAGAACCGAAAGGTAATGAAGCTTTGGGTTCTGGTAAAAACGACAAAGGTAAAGGGATCTTGGAAGAAGAAGAAGAAGAAGAAGAAGAAGAAGAAGAAGAAGAAGAAAAAGAAGAAGAAGAAGAGAATTATGGCGCTGCTCTCAAAGCAAGAAATCGAGATAGAAAGCTGGATGAAAACTCTCGTATTGCTAAAGAAGCTGAACAAAGGGAGCGAAACCAAAAGGAGGCTCATGACCTATTGGAAAGTCGCAAAGTACTTTTTCCTTTATGGACGTTGGAGCGGATGATAAAAGAAGCTATAGATTCTCCAAGCACGCGTTGGCTTGAACTAGTCGTTTCTTTTGACTGTGAGAATTCTAAAGACTCCTATTTTGATATGCCCATCACAAGGAAAGCTTTTGTTTTTCACTGTTTTGTTCCAACAGTCGCTATTCCCTCAGTAGATCCGAAAACAGACAGGGATTTGGTTGACTACTACATGGAATTCGGTCAGCCTCAGCATCTAATCTGGAGTGCTTAAAATATTACAGTTGTGAAGGTTATGAAGCCGACTTCTGCTAGGAAATTCATCAACGTGAAGTTCAAAGTGACAAGAGGATCAGAGAGTTCGATTCATTTCATTTCTTTAGCTGATCTGACAAATTTGAATCCACATGATTGGATCTTGTTGAACAACATCCGGCTTACCAGTCAGGAACAATATGAGTTGATTATTGATCATATCAAGCGAATGATCGCTTGTTATTTTCATGAAGTCGCCTTGATGGATCAAGAAGTCTCATCTGTTTTGCGAAAAAGACCAACTATCAAACCGATTGGGAAAGCTCAAGATCCAAATAGAATGGAGCTGGGAGTGATTGATTCGAAGTACCGAATGGTGATGTTCATAAGAATTGAGAGAGAAAAGTTCGTGTTTGCCCTCGATGATAAACATTTGTTTTCCACATCCTGTTTGGAACGTATCATTGATATAGTGAACAGGTGTAAGCAGAATAGCGATGCTGACAAGAAGTGCTTCACAAACATGCTTCGGTGGTATATCACTTTCCGACAAACTCTTTTGGCTATTATACCGAAGGTGTTCAAGACGGTCAAGAAGTCTTCTGTTGCAAAATCGAACAAACCTCTCGCCTCAATTAACGCAAAAGGGGAGATTGTTGGGTTCGTGTGTGTTGTGTTATTGGACTTATTCTTTTGTGTTTATTTTGAGTTCCAAATTGGGTCTGTCCATCCGTGTTTATTTCTTTTAGGGTTTTAGTACCTAAAGGTGCATGTATGAATCCTTTATGATTATCGCTTTCATTTATTATTTTGAGTATTGTACTAGAAACCCTAGTACGCCTCTACAGTGGAAGTTTTCCGTCGAGCTCTGATGCGTGACTATTCTTGAATTATTAAACTATATTTTGATTATGTCCTGTGTTCTCAGTATTATTTGTTTAATTTGTTGTTTAACCTGTTCAAGATCTAATTGATCTTAGAGTTTTCAACTCTTCACTCTATATGGTCTTGTAATTACAAAATATAAAATAATATTAAACTTAAAGTATCTAACATTAAAAACATAAATGATAAATGTATTAAATTAATAATTTAGTTTTATATGTTATTATTTGATTTTGCATTATTGAGCCACTTCATGCATTCCTGTTATTGGAAAAAATTGTATTTTTTTAAAGTAATAATTATTTAATTACCAATTGTATTTAAGTATCTCTTAATTCATTGTCAACGAACTTCAATTATTCCTGTCCATGTGGTTTTAGTACGGTAGAGGTTAAAAATCCTCAGTTATATAAACTGTTAAATATCAAGTACCAACGACACCAAAAAGCAAAATGTCTGACGAAGTGCCTTTCCATATCCAAGAGGCAATCCTAAAAAGGCTTCCTATCAAATCATTGATTCAGTTTAGATCCGTCTCAAGAACATGGAAGTCTTTGATCGACAGCTCAGAGTTTATTGCTGCTCACAGCGTCAGCCATTCTCAGCCACAACATCTGTTTGTATCGTACACAGACACAAAAGAAGATAAATATATTTCTTTTCTCGATGATGACTCTTTCCCCCAACATAGGTTTGTTCCTTCTCTTCCCCTGTCCGTTAGACATCCGCACATAGTTGGTAGTTCTTATGGCTTGTTGTGTTTCAAAGGTTATCAGTTTTCTGGTTCCACCTATAGAAGGACGATGGCTGTTCTTTTGAATCCTTCCATTAGAAAATCAATAGCTATTACTCTGCCTGATATGTTATATAAGAATCATAAAATCGTTCTTGGTTTTGGAGTTTGTCCTCTCACTATTGATACCAAGATCGTCCACATCACTCAAATGCGTTGGGGTTGGGGGAGTGAACTGAGAAGCGAAATTGGCAACTTTTGGGAAGTTAAGGTTTATAAGAAAAGTTCGGGGAAATTTACAAGTCTATCTAGCAATCTCCCTAGTATGTCAATACACATTATAGGGCCCCAGGTGGTTATTGGTAAGTCTATCTACTGGTGTGCTGTAGATTGTGCAACTGTGGATAGTGTGTTAAAAACTCGTAATCTGATTATGTCATTTGATCTAACTAATGAGAATTTTGAAGTAGTAGACCTCCCCGATAGGATAGCTGTCCTCCCTCTCTCACAGTTTTCTGTTTCTAAGTTAAGGGAGTCTCTTGTCATGGTTGAATACAATAGACGCGGATATGATCCAACCGATGTGGAGCAAGTTTGTTGTACTGTATGGATGGTGGAGCGTGGTGTAGAAAGCTCGTTTACTAAGCTATTCAATATCAAGGCACCAGGTGACTTGATGAGGGCAGTGGGTTTTACCAGGAAGGGCGGACCTATTATGGAACTCCAAGAGTATGCCTTTGACTCAACTGAAGAGCTTGTTGTTTATGAGCCTAACTCAGAACTAAGCAATAATCTGATTAGTGGGTCTTCATTCACAGTGAATTCCTACATTGAAACACTAGTTTTGCTCGGTAGTTCTGATTGTAGTAGCTATTGACATACCAATTTCAAGGACAATATCTGTGAATTAGTTGAAGTTTTTTAAAACTTAATTAATTGCATTACATATAATTTGATGTCCGTTTACGTGTTTATTCAATGTTTGTAACATTACATATGCTAAATCTCACATTTTTATGAAGATTATAATATTATTTTTGTGGATTTATAGTATGAATCTTTAAGTATATTAAATATTAAAAATTGAAAAAAAATCCCAACACTTGGTTCCAACACTTAGTCGTATTGTTAACGATGTAGACAACAAAAAACGAATAACATTTGTGACTAACGCAAGCAAACTGATCATATATAATTGTAATAATTCATGTAAAGGCAATTAAATATTAAATATAAAAAATTTTAAAAAATGTAAAACAATAAATTCTAGATATCGAATATCTGAAATATCTGAAAATCTATAAAATCATTATCCAAATCCGAATCCTAAAATCGGATGTCCAATAATGCGGATATCCGAATTATCGGATAATTTCGGATCGGATTATCGGATTCGGATGTACGGATTCTGTGTGCTTTTTGTTTTATGACACTACAATTAGTATATGTCCCATTATATTTGGTTGTTCTTCATAGGCTAATAACTATATGGAATCTATAAGTAATTACCTTACATGCTATGTATAAATAACTTAACTATATGGAATCTATAAATAATTACCTTACATGCTATGTATAAATACCATTGTAGTATCCAGTTGAAAGGTTAAATATTGTACTTACATGTTATGAATCATTTGATTCATTTTTTGTTTAACAATATAGGTTGTTCATTAATTAACCACAAAATGAAATCAAATTTGTACGTAGGCGTGATTATTTAATTCAATGAGGATAATATTTACTTTAATTTTTTTTTTGAACCGGCAAATAGATTTATATATAAAAGAAAAAGAAAACATGGGAAACAAAGTTGCAACCACAGATCAGTGGCAATACAAAGAAACAGACAGAGAATAAAAAAGACGAACAACTAAAAAAAAAAAGGGCATTGAGACCAATTTGCCCAGATTAAATTCATCTTGATTCCCCTGTTCGTGAATGAGATATACTAGCGGTTCGACTAACTTAGTCTTATACGTATAGTAATATTAGACTTCTAATGTTACATATAGTATAAGAATATATTTTTAAACGTTTTCCACAAATACTAGGTTAAATTTTAAATTTCAAAAAATTAACAAATTAATTTAAAATTTAAAATTTAAGCCAATCATGAACTAAAAACGAGGATATTAAATTACTTTTGAAAAATATTTAGTTTTATAAAATTAAAACATTATTAAAGGTAATTATCCTAATCAATTCATGAGATTATGTATAAAACCAAATTTTATAGATATGACAACCCACTAGGTCGTTTTAAACAATTTCCACGTCGTGGTAGAGCAAAAATGGAGGTCACCCACGTCGTGGTGAAAGGCATCATGTCGTGGTGGCGGAACAGACTGATGATTCTGCTTTCTCCTCCTTATTCAAGTTCAACCATTGTATAAGTTCAATAGAAAACAAAACCTATGCTCTAATACTACTGATACTACTGATGTGTATTATGCAAAACATATAAATCCTATGTGTGCGTGTAACCCTAATAATTGATTTATGTTTTCTCAAATTAAACATACAAATTGGACAACAAAATAGAAACCCTAGAAAATAGTATATAATCGAAAAATACATCATTAGGGTTATAAGAATCATACCTTTATTGTTATATAATAATAACCATTAAAATCCTTGTGTAGATGAAGCCTTCAGAGGAAGCGTCACAAATGTCACGCCTCTAGTGGTTAACACACAACACTAGCAATGGAAGAATGATTGAGAAGGAGGAGAGATGCTTTAAAATTCGGCTAGATATTCCAAGAAGCAACTGGTCAAAAATCTTAGCTACGGTTGACGCTATTTATATAATACAGTCAGGAAACCCAAGATAAGGCATAATCCAAGATTATTTTAAATCGGGTAAATATCTACTTTGTTGTTTATCCACTAGGGATTATTCTAGAAACCCTAAGGCCTGAAGAAAGAACATCCAAACCTTTATGAAGGGTTCTGGATTTCCTCTTGCTCAACTATTTAACAACTGAATGCAGTCCCTACACTTTTAATTAATTCTTTTAAGCACAAAATTAAATCCAATTAATTTTTGATTAAATATTAATTAAATATTACTATTTCTAATTATTGTATTATTCTTATAATATATTAACAAATCATTTATTTTAATTTATTAATCAAATAATAAATCAATCTCTTTCTCTAAAATCATCCTGTCTAGTTGATAGTTTTGAGGGCAACCCAAAATGACGGTTATATTATCAATTTATGTATATACGAATTATAGTTATGGACTTAGACTCCTAATCCAACATGCTTCTTCTTGTGCCTCTATAGTTACGAATGGTTCCCCAATAACAAAATAATAGCTATGGAAGGCCTAAATGATGCTTTAAAGTTATAGATGAAGACATCTTTCAAAGTATCAAAATTCCCAACTGTAACACACTTATCTTGCATCTCCTATAAGTTGATGATGCATTGTTTGTGGGTGAGTGGTCCAAATTCTGTATTACAAACCTAACTTGCATTTTGTTGGGCGTTCATATCTCGTCTGGTCTAAAGGTGAACTACTTAGAATCAAAGGTATTTTGTATTGGTGCAAAACAAACTGAAGCGAACAGTTGGGCGAACTTACTAGTTTGTGAACTAGGCTCTTCGGTTTCAATACCTTGGTATGCATGTTAGTGCAAACATGAATCTCATAAAAAATTGGAAGCCTGTCATTGACTGATTTCAGGACAATTTATCATCTTGGAAATCAAAGACATTATCTTTTAGAGGGACTCGTACCCTCATTAAGTATGTCTTGGCCAATTTGCCCAAATTCTACATGCAGTTATTTAAAGCCTTTTGGGTATTCGTGAAACTTTAGAGTAGATTAGAAGAATTTCTTTTATGGGGATCGAACAACAATAAAAATATTCTTTAGGTGAGTTGGAATAAGATTGTGGCTGCAAAAGAGCATGTTAGTTTAGGTGTTGGTTCTATTTGCATCCTAAACATTTTCATTATTGTAAAGTGGTGGCAGAGATTAAAGATGAACTTGGTGCTTTATGGAGAAGAGTTATTTATGGCATCCACAACCTTGAAGGAAAACCTGATCATTATTTCTCTAAAAAAACCTGTAACTAAATATTATAGCCAATGTTAACATCAATATTCAAAAAGTTGGTTTAGGATTCTTTGATATTTTTAAATTCAACCATTCTTTTGTTTCATGGAGTTGTGCCTTAAACTCGAACGAATTTTACATAGTGGAGAAGCTCGGATGCATTATGGATCGTAATCTTCTTCATCATCCTATTATTGCTTCATTGGTAATTTGGTGTAAAGACGTTTTGTTCAAAGTGATGTGTTTTCTATGAAGAGCAATCCAAGGTAGATTTCCTTCTAATGTTGCCCTAGCTAGTTGTGGTATGCCTATTCATTCGATTAGGTGTGGGCTTTGTAGCCGGTGTGGCCGGTCTCCGGAATGTGCAGACCGTGTCCTAGTTAAATGTTCCTTGGACCCAGCTTGTGATGCCAAGAGTTGGTGGTGCACTTGGAGGAGACAGTGGATTTGTTGCTTAGAAGATTACGTAGAGAGCAAATGGCTGCATAATAAAGATCATTGATGTTCACTCCCCGCATGAGAATGGTGCCCGTGCGTAGGTCCTTGATAAGGAAAAAATTCAACAGAAACTTTGTTAGAGTTATAGAGTTTGGCTACTGATATAAGATTATTACGCAACTGACATACATAGAAAACATTGTGCAAGCTCAAAGGGTGGGAAGAGGTAGGAAGAATAGAATGACCAGTGTGAGAGATGTATAGTCCTTTACCGTTTCCTAGCACGATCTCATCAGGGCCTCCATATTCTAATAGGGTATGGAAGGAACCAGGATTTGATGCGACATGATGAGAGGCTCTGGTATCAAGCATCCAAGGTGGCGTGGTTGATATAGAGGCAACGGTTGTAGTGTTCACCGTGGGACTAGGGGAAGACATGGATATGCTGATGTTGTTTTCTCTTAGGAACCAAGAGAGCTTCCTGCAATCCTTGGTTACATGCCGTGATATACTACAAAATTGACAAAAACTCTTATTTCTATTACATCGCTGGTAGTTGTTATTACCTCCATAGTTGGAACCAGGGGAGCAGAAATTCGTGTTATCAGTGGTGTTATTGTTGTTGGTAAATCGTGGCTGATTGCGATTTTCCTGGTTTGTTTTTGATGGGTAGCGATTTGAGTATTTCTTGGTATTATTGATAGTAGCAATAATTGGTGTAGGCTGAGTTTCTTTGAGAGATCGCTCATGATCAAGAAGCTTATCGAAAAGGTCAGGGAACGTGATAGGGTTTCACGAATTTTCAGAGCAGATGCAATGTGAGTGTAGTCATCTCCTAGTTGTCCTATTATGTGTACTACTAGGTCTTCTTCGTCAACGGGGCTTTGAGCTAGAGCTAGGTCATCGACAATATTCTTCATGTCATGGAGAAACTCAGTGATAGAGCCTGTACCTTTGGGATTATTGGCTAATCTTATTTTAAGGAGATGATATGAGACCTGGAGACACTTTCATAGCTATTTAAAAGCTTCATAAGATGTGTTGGCCGACGAGACAATCGGCTGGATTGTTTCAGCACAGCTTCCTAATAGGGCACCAAGAATAATTTGGTCCTGACGATACCAGCTCATGTATGTTGGGTTTGGTTTGGATGTGTTGTCGGCGGCTAGGGTTTTGGCCGGAGCTTCTGTGGATCCATCAACGTAACCTTCGAGCCCTACTCTAGTTAGGATTGCTACTACTTGCTTCCTCCAAACTGGAAAGTTGTTGGCTGTAAGTTTTATTGGAAAGTGGGTATGGGTTGTGACTTCGGTGATGTTGGACAGGTTGACTGTGTGTGATCAAGAATTGAAGATGAATTAGAACGAGTGTGTGTGAAGAACTCGTAGGAGCTATTATAGCTCTGATACCATATAGAGAAGGAATGAATATGGTCGAATGCCTTGATTTGTATTCCAATATCAACACACCATATATAGTCTTAATTACAACAGATTACAAGATATTCAAGAGCTATTCTATAGGAGATATTTTTGGATCTATTGACTATACAATTGAATAAGTATATACATTGTAAACGTGAGTATATTGTGATGGGCTATGATGATGCATTGGGCTGCTGTGGATCCGATGCTATATGTTGTGGATGGGCTCTATATCCTTGATAGTGTGGTGTCAATCAAGCTTTCTTTGGTAACATAAACGATTTATTGAACTTTGCATCTAACTGGGAGAGTTGTTATATGAAGCGTAAAATTCTTGGGGTGTTTTGCTATAGTTTGCTTTGGTGCCTGGAAAACCACGAACAATAGAGTCTTAAACAAAAGGTTGCATGTGCTTCTATGTTGACTGACAACATCATTTCTACGGTGTATCATTGGCTGAAATAAAGAGGAAATTTAAGAAGTTGTAATTAGGTTGATTGGTGTATCTCCCCCATTTTCTTGTAATTCCCTCTGTTGTACATTCTTTTTTGCCTGTTAGAAGTGGCTCTTTTTTTTAACGTTATCGGTCGTTTCCAGTAATAATAATAATAATAATAATAATAATAATAATAATAATAATAATAATAATTTAGCTGTATGTTATTGATTGAATTTGCATTATTGAGCCAATTCATGCATCTCATGCCACCAAGAATATTACCTAGCTGCAGCTATTGGAACAAATAATATTTTCAAAAAGTATTATTATTTAGGTACCAACTGTTTTTAAATATATCTTAACTCACGGTCAACTAATTTCAATTATTCGGGTACATGTGCTTTTAGTATGGTAGAGTTTAAATCTCCGGTTATATAAACCGTTAAAAATCAGGTACCAACGACACCCACAATTAAAATGTTTGACGAACTGCCTTTCCATATCCAAGAGGAAATCCTGAAAACGCTTCCTATCAAATCATTGATTCAGTTCAGATCCGTTTCGAAAGCATGGAAGTCTTTGATCGACAGCTCAGAGTTTATTGCTGCCCACAGCGTCAGCCACACACAGCCACAACATCTGTTTGTATCGTACACAGATGAACAAGTGCCTAAATATGTTTCTTTTGTCGATGATGACTCTTTCCCCCAGCATAGGTTTGTTCCATCTCTTCCCCTGTCCATTAGAGATCCACGAATAGTCGGTAGTTCTTATGGCTTGTTGTGTTTCCAAGGTGATTCACCTTCCATCTATAGAAGGATGATTGCTGTTGTTTTGAATCCTTCCATTAGAAAATCAATAGCTATCGCACTGCCTGATATGTTATATACGAATCATTTAATCGTTCTTGGTTTTGGAGTTTGTCCTGTCACCATTGATACCAAGATCATCCAGATCACTCAATTGCGTTGGGGGAGTGAACGGAAAAGCGAAATTGGCAACTTTTGGGAAGTTAAGGTTTATAAGCAAAGTTCGGGGAAATTTACAAGTCTATCTGGCAATCTCCCCAGCATATCAATACATATTATGGGGCCCCAGGTAGTTATTGGTAAGTCTATCTACTGGTGTGCTGTAGATTGTACAACTGTGGATAGTGTGTTTAAAACTCGTAATCTGATTATGTCATTTGATATAACTAATGAGAAGTTTGAAGTAGTAGTCCTCCCTGAAAGGTTGGCTATCATCACTTTCTCCCTACTTTCTGTATCTAAGCTAAGGGAGTCTCTTGTTATACTTGAATACAATAAAAGCGGATACAATGATACCATTGAGGAGCAAGTTTGTTGTACTGTATGGATGGTGGAGCGTGGTGTAGAAAGATCGTTTACTAAGCTATTCAATATCAAGGCACCAGGTGACTTGATGAGGGCAGTGGGTTTTAGGAGGAAGGGCGGATCTATTATGGAAGTCCAAGATTATACCTTTGAATCAACTGAAGAGCTTGTTGTTTATGAGCCTAACTCAGAACTAAGCAATCATCTCATTAGTGGGTATAGATTCACAGTGAATTCCTACATTGAAACACTAGTTTTGGTCGGTGGTTCTGATTGTAGTAGCTATTGACATAACGATTTCAAGGCCAATATCTGTAAATTAGTTGAAGTTTTCTAAAACATAGATGCATCACATATAAGTTGATGTCTGTTTAACTGTTTATTCAATGCTTGTAACATTACTGATGCTATATAAATCTCACATTTTTATGAAAATTGTGTAGTAAAATCTTGGTGTTAGTCTTATTGTATATGTTTAGTAAATAACCTCGGGCTGTTGGCCTATTGAGAGGCTTGTGACCTTGGTAGTTGGTTGTTGGGAATTACGAATTGGGTAATACGAAATCCGGATCATAAACAGGAATCGTGTGATACACTTTCCTTGTTTTATATTTCATCCCTAATTGCCTAGGGTATCACGAAATCCAAACTAAGATAATTCCTAAAGAAACGATTCTGATTTTAGGCACAAAACACAGAATTAATTTTGAGAGAGAATGAAGAAGAAATCGTTTTTCAGTTTTCTGTGTTTCAACCAAGTCGTTATCTTTCCCGGACTTATCTACTCAACGGATAAAACAAGAATAATTTTCAACTTTCAGAAAATACGAATTAAACCTTGTATTTTCATCTTTAAAGAACAATAAATTAATCCTTGTACTAACAATGTTTAATAAATACAAGTGTTGACTCTCACACCTCCTAACTTGTATTATAACTAAAACATTTGTTAAATCCATTACACTAAAATATATTTGGTAATTAAATCACCGACAGTTCCTGCCATTGGTGCTTTAACAAAACTAATAATCGATATATTTTTTTCACATTGTGTTGCAACTATTCTTTTGCTCAATTTGCAAAAATAAAAATGACCATGATATCATAATCGTATGAGGGAGTTCAAACTGGTAACTCTCTCTGCTTTTTGTTTTATGGCACTACAATTAGTATATGTTCGATTATATTTGGTTGTTATTCATAGGCTAATAACTATATGGAATCCATAAGTAATTACCTTACAGGTTATGTATAAATAAAAGTACTGTAGTATCCAGTTGAAATGTTAAATATTGTACTTACATATTATGAATCATTTGATTAATTTTTTTGTTTAGCTGTATAGGCTGTTCATTAACCACAAAGTATGTACGTAGGCGTGATTGTATATCCATATGTGCGCTTATTGAATTCAATGAGGATAATATTTACTTTAACTATATATGAATTTTTAGAATGGAAAAAACTTTCAAAATAACTAGATAAAAGTAAACGTGGTTGCTGTTTAATGAAAAAAATTCTGAATATGTTGTCATGCCATTGGTGCAAGCCAGCTGGCATCAGCATTGGTCATGTAAATGACAGGGTATCAAAGCAACGTGTAACCAGAGCTGACGAGTGAAAAGAACGGGTCAATTCAGCAGGTTATTGTCTATTGTTGAACCGGATTGAACCGACCAAGTTTACCAAAACAAACTGGTTGAACCATTCACTTGTAACCAGGTTGACCGAGTGGTAGGTTGATCTTATTGATGAATCAATATTCTAGTTTACGTTGTTGGTCACATTTGATATAAACAATACAAATAAAACAAGTTGCTTCTTATTATAACTCAAGAAAATCACTAAAAACTTGGGTTACAAACAAATGCTCATCAGGTCTCTTAATCAGTCTAAACCTAGCTGATAGATAACCTTTATATATAGAGATCTTAATCCTTGCTCACCAAGGAAACTTGACTCTTACTCTAACTCCTAGTTTCCTTTTTTAAATAGGTTTCCTTATTGCTCCTTACACACCGACTTGTTCATAAGGGTATACTCGAAAATTACAGAATATTTACCCCCCCCCCCCCCCCCCAATTCCTGAAAAGATTTTGAGAGATTTTCTAATCCTAAAAACTTGCACATTTTAGTAAACTTAACATTCGCAACACTACAAGAAAGTTAGACATTAGCGGCAATAATTGTCGCCGCGAAAAATAGCGGTTGTCGCCGCTAAAGGTATTAGCGGCGACATGTCGCTACAAAAAGGTCGCCGCTAATGGTTCGTCGCTAATGATCAATTAGTCGCCGCTAATGCAAAGAGATAGCCGTTATTCATCTGCCGCTGCTAATACTTCCCTGTCGCCACTACTATTCTCATGACGCTAAAGACGTCGCCGTAAAAACTGTTTTCAATTTTTTTATTTAATATTAGAATTATAAAAAAAACATTATATCTTTTATAAAATCTGGTACAATTTTATAGAAACATTAACCCATACACAGCCAAAAACAATATAACATTTGTAAAATATTAATCCACAATCCAAAATATTAATTCATACAACCTAAAGTATTCTTCCAAACAAAACATTTCATAAACCCAACAATTCCTACTTGTCATCATCACTCTCATCATTTTCTTCATTATTATTTGGTGGTGGTAATGAGCGAAACCACTATTCCAATGACACAGAACATGTCAGATCCTTTAGTATCGTTTGCAACATTTCCATCTAAAAAAACAAAAACAAAGACAAAATATATTACCAACATATCATAATAGTATTATAATTTCCAAAAATTATCAAAATAAAAAAAAATACCAAAATATCTAAACTATAACCAACATAACATTATATCATTCTACTTTCAAAAAATTACCAAACTACAAAATATCAACATATCAAACCATAACCAACATATCATTATAGCATTCCACTTTCCAAAAATTACCACACTACAAAGTATCAACATATCAAACTATACCCAACATATCATTATAGCATTCTACTTTCAAAAAATTACCACACTACAAAGTATCAACATATCAAACCATACCCAACATATCATTATAGCTATGATCGATGATCTGTGATGTAGTTATATCTGATATCTATTATTCCAGTATATGTTAGTTATGCACACATGGTTATCTGATTGATGTTGGGTTGAGGCGGTCCTGTTTTGTGGTGATGGCCAACATACCCTATGAGCAGGTTGGATAGACATATGGCGGTCCAGTTATACCGGCTCGGCATAGATCCAGATAGACTGCAGGCCCTACATGGCGGTCCAGTCAGGCCGAAATCCCAGTGTGCATTTTGTTGATTATCTGTTATTGATATGGTATTATTGGTGTGGTATTGTTTTTTTGGGGGTAGGTCACTAAGCCCTCACACTTACAGTTTCAGTTTATTATTTCATGTACTTCCGAAGACCATGGCAAGGCGAAGGCTTGACCGTACCGCTCCTCATCCATATGAATGTATTTCTGGGACACTCTAATGAATAATATTTTGAAAACATTTTGTAAAACACTATTTGGTTTCATGATTGAAAATTTTTAAATTTGGCTAAAAAAATTGTATGTTACAAGTTGGTATCAGAGCCTTGGTTTGAGTGAATTGGAAGAACACTCGTGTGAATCTAGTCTCAAGTCAAGGAAAATTTTTAGAATAAATTTGAAAGTGGTTTTCAAAATAAAGGATGGTGGATACGGAGGGTACGATCAGCCAGAGCCAATAAGTAGACCCCAAAATACCATACAGTTAATTGGTGTTATGATCTGTTAGAACAACATGCTAGTGCTAGGCTAGGGATCTTCAGGAATTGCATGATAGACTTGTTTGATTATATGATGCTTACTAGCCTAGAGTTTTTTTTTTATCGAATTGACATGATTACTGTAGTTGCTTATGTTGGATTAATGTCTAAGTCCATAACTATATTTGGTATGTACTTGACCCGACCCGGCATGGTCTATTTGGGTTGCACTTCACCGACACAATTTATATGGATAATCTTTTGAGAATAGTATATTTATGATTAATATTAATATATTATAAGTTCTAATATATTAATATAGAATCATATTATTTAATTAGTATTGATCAACAATTAATTTAGAATTAATTAAGTGATCAAAATGAACTAATTAAATATGGACTCTTATATATATGGAATGGGCCAAGTTCATTTCTGTTGGGTTAAGTTTTCATGGATAGTCCATGGAGTGTTTAACCCATGGATCATATGAAATGAAAGGTCATGGGTTTAACCGTAGTCTCCATACTATATAAAGATGTCCTTGGTTGGTGAAATTGGCACTAGTGTAGGTACACTAAGAAGGGCTAGCCGATTTCACTAAAGAGAACCAAGTATTCATATTCTCTAAAGTCTTCCAAGGTGTTTTGATGATTTGTGATTCCACTTGAGGCTTCCACACTATTAGGGCTAAGCTCTTAAAGTTTGAAGACATCAAGCTACATCAAAAGGTATGTTATCTAACTAGTACTTTGTAGTATAAGAACTTCATAATATGCTAGTTAGGATTAAAGCCTTGGAAAGATCTTATTTGCATGTATAATAGAGAAAACATAGATCCAATGTATTTAGGGTTGCATGTACACTTAGGCGTGTTAGAATGCTCAAAACTCAACAATGGTATCAGAGCCACGAGTTGTTTTCTGTTATATTGATGCAAATATTTTATTTTCAAAGTTGAAAAAAAAAGAAAAAAAAAACATGAAGTTTGTCAAATTTTAAGATAATTACTTGTTCTTGTGAAAAACTAATTATTTGTAAAATTTGAATAATTTTCTATATGAGTTGAATTAGGTTAAATTTAGTAAACGATAAAATGATATGATTATTTTATTAGTTTTAAAAGTTTGATCTAAAGATTTTATTTTTTGAAACCTCCATAAGTTATGGATATGAAAAGATTTTAAAAAAAATTTATTCAAAGTTTTTATGGAGTTACAAAATTTGGTGTTAATGTTTTAAAGAATTCCATAACTTAAGAATAAGTTATGGATCACCAAAAGTTTTTTGTGTTACCTTGTTTTATGAGTGAATTTAGATTAATGAAAAATTATGTGATAGTTGGTTTTAATCCAAATTAATCTAAAGGAAGTTCATAAAATGTAATTATTAACTTAAAAGTCACATTTATGAATCTTAAAACTCATAAAAGTTAACATAGGTTACAAAAATGAAGAGTCTTATTTTCATTGAATGCTTTGATGACTCCATAACTTGTCCTCAACTTATGGAGGTTGAAGAGTCACTTCATTAAATCAT